TGAATATTTTAGCAATCGACGATTCGATCATTGGATCGTCACTAAATACGTTGTAGTATGTAATATTTGAGGACTATAGGGATGTACGAAGCTTTCCGAATTGGATTTGTAAGTTCATATAATAAAGTGTTGACCTCCACTTGAATTTGTAATTGGTGGAGATCCAACCGTTTGATCATAATGAAACTTTAGTATGATGTTCTAGAAGCATAATTTGGATCTTTGGAAGTTATGGATCAGAAATCCAAGGTGTGGATCTTTTGGATTGAGTTATGTAGGGTTATGAACCCTACTGCTGACCTTTGACCGACGATTGACTTTTGGTCAATGGGTTTCAAATCATTTTAGAACGTCTTTGGGGATGTGTTTTATGTAAGTTACATATTTTATTGATAAGAATTCTGAGACATGATTTGATAATTGTTCTAGGCCCTGATCGTTCGTGATGTCTCGATATTCGTGCTAGAGAATTGTAGCGCGAACCTCAGGTGGGTGGGTCTTTTCCTTTTTATTATTATTATTATTATTATTATTATATATATATATATATATATATATATATATATATATATATATATATATATATATATATATACAGAGAGCTTAAGGGGAGGGATCCCCATTTTTTGAAAAAAATAGGGATTAGGTGTGGGGTCCACTTCACATCTAATTTCAACGATCGGAACCGTCTATTTTGTTAGTTTCGATTCATAGATCATCCTTGCAAAATATTAGCTAAATTGGAAATGTTTAAGACATCTAATTGGGTTCAAGGAAATGAACGAATACTTTGTTATATAAGAAAATATGAAATTTGATATTGATAATTAAATAGGCAAATGGTTTTGGATTGAATTGAATTTTTGCAAGGATGATCTATGAATCGAGACTAACAAAATAGACGTTTGGATCGTTGAAATTTGATGTGAAGTGGGCCCCATACCTAATCCCCATTTTTTTCAAAAAATGGGGATCCCTCCCCTTAAGCTCTGTGTGTGTGTGTATATATATATATATATATATATATGTGTGTGTGTGTGTGTGTGTGTGTGTGTGTGTGTGTGTGTGTGATTGATAGTTTCCAAAAATGCTTTTGAATTGATTCATGCACTTTATGCCATGATTAAATTATGTTATGAGAATGTTACACTGTTGCGAAATACCAAGATGATTCTAGGGGATGCGCAGGTAAGTTTAGTATGTTGATTAGAATTATTGCATCACTATGGCATGCGTACATATAGTTTGCTCATCATTGCTACACCCCATGTGAGTGCTCAGCCGAGGCTAGGCTAGCCTTCACGTGTATGTTCACCTTTCAGCACCGCACGCTTGCTGTGGATCCAACTAGGTGTTAGCCTGTCGTACAGACTGCAATAGGCAATTCCGCATAGGTGACTACGCATAGCGCAAGCTTCACGTGATCGTAGCACAAGCTTCACGTGATTGTAGCACTAGAGCGTTTATTATTACACCTAGTCTGTCATACAGATCACATTAGGTAACTCTGACTCGTGTGTTAGCATAGACTGATGAGCAATAGGTGCAGTCGTACACGTCACATTAATTGACTTCGACTTGCATGCTAGTATATATTGTTGAGCTTATGATTATATTCATATTACCGTTGAGATATTCTATTGTGGCATATTTTTAGATTTATTGTTGGCATGCATTTGATTTCATATTTATACGTAGTATGATTTTCGGGAAACTATATTTGTTTTATGGCGAGGGGTTACAATTTTTTCAAAAATGTTTGTATAAAACTTTATATTCAGGCCCACTCACCTTTGTCTTTCGCCCCTCCAGGTTTTAGCAGCTAAACTATCTTATCGACGAGATTTCTTGGCAAATCTCAGCATAGGTGGTTACCTTTAAGGGTATAATCCTTATTCTATCCTACTGTACTTTACTTATGCTCTGACATCACGTGTGAAATAGATTCATTCCCACTCACAGTGCACTCTTGTATTTAGGCACTTTTAGTTTTAAATTTATTCACATTTTCCACATCACTATACTTTATGGCTTCGTCACCTTCCAGGTGTCAGCTAGCACAACTCGATTCGGAGTCCTAGTGGACATTCCAGGTCAGGGTGTGTCACCATACACTATTTCTTCATAAAAACTACTAATCTACCCTTCAATGTGTATTACGTGCAAGTAACGTAACTTAAATAGACGAAAAATTGAATATAGTAGCTTCGAATTTAATATTAGGGATGTAATTGACATATTTTTATAATTCAAGGACTGATTTTTTTTAAAACAATAGTTGAGGGACCTAATTTTCACTAAGGTAATAATTCAATGACTAAATTGGCAATTTACCCTATATCTAAATAACAAAATGTTCCCACATCTACTTCTTTATCATGACTCTGTGAGTTCAAATCCTGCCTCAGTCACTCACTGTGAGTTTGATTAGTATTAGATTATTGTCACAGTGATGTGAGTTTGATAATGGTGGGTTTTATATATTAAAATGTAGATCCATCTACTATTACTTTTTCCATATTTTATGACTCACTATATGAGTTTGAATTCCATACTATTGGGATCACACTCCCCCACTATAGAAGACCTTACAAAATACATTCCTTACTAGTAAATATACCCGTAATAATAGGTGTAAGAATAAATTATGGATGTTATCCACTCACTCATTTTTATTTCACACACGCCCCTCTTAATTTTTGACTGTTAGACCGAATGAATTAAAGAAGATATCAATAGACAAAAATTAATAAAAATGTATGGGAGGTTAAAAATGATGTGTGAGTAGCACTACCCAAATTTATTCACATAATAAAATCGGTCTCTATAGAATTTACATTAAAAATAGAGAAAATAATATTTAATAAACAATTGATTAAATGACATTATTACTAGCCCATTGTGAGGCTAAGCCCACCCCTTCTCTCTTAGTGTAGATAATATCGTTTGATAAAAAAAAAACCATTTAACAACTAATTTAATCACATTATTATCCGCATGTGAATGACCTTTTTTATAACCGGTATTACACGCCTCTTAAGATGTGTTGAATGTGTTTAAAAATAGAGAAATAATATTTAATAAACAACTGATTGAATCACATTATTGCTAGCCCATTGTGAGGGTAAGCCCACCTCTTCCCCTTAGTGTAGATAATATCGTTTGTTAAAAAAAAAATTTATTTGACAACTAATTTAATCACATTATTATCCGCGTGCGAAATACTTTTTTTATAACCGGCATTACACACCTCTTAAGATGTTTTGAACATGTTTAAAATAGAGAAAATAATATTTAATAAACAACTGATTGAATCACATTATTGCTAGTCTATTGTGAGGTTAAGCCCACCTTCTCCCCCATAGTGTAGATAATATCGCTTGTTAAAAAAAATTATTTGGCAACTAATTTAATCACATTATTATCCGCGTGCGAAAGACTTTTTTTTATAACCGGCATTATATGCCTCTTAAAATGTTTTGAACATGTTTAAAATAGAGAAAATAATATTTAATAAACAATTAACTGAATCACATTATTGCTAGCCCATTATGAGGCTAAGCTCATCCCCCTCTCTCTTAGTGTAGATAATATTGTTTGTTAAAAAAAAACAATCATTTGACAATTAATTTAATCACATTATTATTCATGTGCGAATGACCTTTTTTATAGCCGGCATTACACGCTTCTTAAGATGTTTTGAACGTGTTTAAAAATAGAGAAATTAAATTACATTATTGTTAGCCTATTGTGACGTACTAATTAAAAAATACTATTAAAATTATGAAAATGTCCCTACTTTATTTGATGCATTATTTTGGGATGCTTATAAAGTTTTTTGTCTTGGGGGCATTTTTGTCCAAATATTTTTTTGAATTAGTGACACCAAAATCACTATTTACCTTTTTCATTGGCCTTATTTATAGATCTTCAGAAAAGTATTCAATTTCAAGGCATGTGTTATTCTAAGTCTTTGATTAGGACCTCCATCTTCATCGACGTTCGCAAAAATTGTAGGACTCTTTGTGGTTACTATTGATTTTGAAGTCTTGGACAACTCTTAATCATAATTTTAAACAAATTGTTGAAATGTCAAGCTATGGACCAGATTGGGTTAATAACACGACCCACGACCTAAAAGTTATAATATTACGACCGTGACGACGTCATATACAGAAGAAAAGTTGAAGTTGTGAAGTTGCGATGTATATGAATCCAAAATCAAATGTGATCATCGTCATCCCAAAATTCCACCAAGAAACGTCTTTCATGCTTTCCTCGCCTAGCCAGTCACCTTGTTGACTTTACCAACCCATTGCCCGTAACAGCAAGCCAAGTATTGCAATTGAATTGCTAAGTTAGCATCCATTTGCTTATATTTACCGTTTAGCTCAATTTGCAATTTAACCTAATTTACCATGAAAAAGATCCATGATTTTGGCACAACTGACTGACCCGACAGAAAAAAAAAAAAAGAGTAAATAAGGTTTGTTTTACACATGCATGTTTTGAGAGAGGTTATAAGGTTTGTGTTCCAAGCGACAAACATACACTAGATTAATTTAAACTACAAAAAGAAATTCAAACTTGAGTACAGAGTGAAAACACATTGCTCTAACTAATTTATGTTAAGTCCAAATTTAACACAAATCAACCTAGTTAGTTTCATATGTGTGCTCAAGGCATATTTTGAGATTATGAAGCATAACAAGTTTATAGCAATTGTCACCCCCTTAAACCCATCTTTGGGGCATCGACCTTCGTACCAATTTCCCTGAATTACTAAGTGGAAATTTTAGTTATTATGCTTGGTATGATTTGTAATATCAGAAGGAAGCCAAGGGCAAAAGTTGTGCACCATCAAGTGGTGGAAGACTAGTCCAATTTATAATTTTCTTTTTGTCGATTTCCATCACCATCCTCGTGCCAATGAAAATTCTTTGACCCCACGTTTGCCTCCTCCGTTTAATCCAAAGTTAAATACAAGTCTTGTGCCTATATACCACTATCTTCAATACCTGTTCTTGCCAGATTTCAGAAGGCTCCTTATAGCGATGAGAAGGCAACTTGGGGAGGCAGAACTGACTAAGGAAGCTATGGCTTTAGCCTCCTCACAACAAAATGAGCTCCCATTGAATGAGAATGACTCACAAGACATGGTCATATACCATGTCCTAAATGAAGCCACTTCTCTCACCCCCTCACTATTGCCACAGAGGCACCACATCCATCGTCAACCAAATCGCCTGGAACCCACCAAGAACGTCGGAAAAAAGCACTATAGAGGCGTGAGGAGGCGTCCGTGGGGCAAGTACGCAGCTGAAATCCGTGACTCTGCAAGACAAGGTGCGCGTGTATGGCTAGGAACATTTAACACAGCCGAAGAAGCTGCCTTGGCATATGATCGAGCAGCTTTTCGAATGCGCGGTACTAAGGCCATGCTTAATTTCCCAGCTGAAATTGTGGCTGCATCATCTCCACCAACATCATCAGTTCATAGATTCAGGCCAAGTTTTAATATACCTTGCAGCTTAAATAGTAAAAACAGTACTACTACTTCAGACTCAAGTGGAAGTTCAAGTATGCTTTCAGTTGGGACGCCAAGATCAGAATCTGAGAGTAAATTAAGTGCGGTGGAGGTACAAAATATGGAGGGTCAGATTTTCTAGAAATGTTCTTTTTATTTTTATTTTTTTAGTTATAAACTTCGGGTTACTAAACATTAGGACATTAAGTTTCATTTTATAGAAAGCAGAGTTATTAGATGCGTGTGGGAAAGTTTGTAATTTTTCTTTCATTGTCTAGTTATTCTCTTTTGCCTTGCCAACACAAACGATAACAATATAATTCACAGCCAAAGAAATAAAAAAGGGTATACAAATGTACTGCAAGAAGTGAATTTTATTGGTTTTGTAATATATATGATTGAATGAGTTGGAGCTTATTTTGTATAGATACATACATTTTTTGGTTTTCTCTCTTTGAGCTTCACAATTTTGATGAGGCAGGTAGATACAAGAAGAAATGCTAAAATAACTCTTAAAAGTGAGACCTTTATGAACTATCTTCTACCTCGTATTTTTTACACAATGTTTTATAATGTTGGTACATGAATTGACGTTAAACTGGATGTGACAAAGAGTCCCACTTGTGAGAGATTCCTCGTAACATTTCTAATCTAAAAAGACAATTTACCTACAATTTGAGGAACACTCAGAATTAATTATCATCTTGTCCAGTACCTAATGTGAAAATGAAGAGGACTGTTCATATCAGTCCCTTAAAAATGGGTCTCTGGGCTTATATTTTGTAGTGAAATGCGTGGACTATGGGACAATTTTTACATGAATCACTCAAAGTATTTTTCATCGATCTTTTGTCACCTCACAATTTAACGTCAATTCATGTAACAACGTTATAAAACATTGTACTAAAAATATAAAATGACAAAAAGTTCATGAAGTGTCCCACTTTTGAATCTCTTTAGCATTTCTGACTTGTCAAATGGACCACTATTTTGGTTGGTAGGTAGACACACATGAACCTCTCCGTCTAATTTTTGTAAGACTAATTGCCAAGACAATTGCCAATTTGGTCAATCAATTCAACCTAATATCACATTGGTTCTCTCACCTTAATTTGTTCCATTCTATTACAAGTTGAACCCAAAACCTTACACGTAACTTAGATTGGCAATAGTCTAATCTCATATTCAAAGCAAATAGACTTGTCCCTTGCAGGGACCAAATTTTCTAATCAGCATATCAACCTCCATTTTATTTTCAACTAGAAGAAGAACAATTCATATAGACCATCCATTGACTGTACAATTTAAAATATTGTTATTAAGAAAAAGAGGACATGGATCCTCTCTGGATCCAATTGTCCTAATCTTAGAGACCAATGAATTCGAACCATTAAAATTTAATCTAACAGTTAAAGTTATTATAACTTTTGTAGTGAGCCTCTGTTCTAACTGTTAGATCAAATTTTAATGGTCCAGATTCATTGATCCTTAGAATTAGGACAATTGGATACGAAGAGGATCCATGTCCGAAAAAGAAATATGAAATGTCTTTTGGATAAGCTGACCAGGTACAGAGCATGGCTTGACTTTGAACAAGGAAGAGAGAAAAGTAAATAAATAAAAAATTCAAGGTCGGTTATGGAGTGGGTTTGCTTTATTTTATTTTCTTTTTATAATTGAAAAAAGATGGTTCATCTTCAACATGTGAAAGTAGATATACTCGAGGGTTCAAAGTTTAGATGGAGAATTTCAACTTGGTATCTGATTTCGAATACTTTCTGACGTGTTATATCCTTTTGAAAAATACTTGGGTTTTCACTGAAGAGTACCTAATTTCCGGACCAAATGAAATGGTCCTGTGAAATGGGAACAGCTGTCATTTTTATTCCCTGCTAATTAATAAAATATTTATTATCAATTAAAATCTTATGAAATTATCAATTTAACTTTCTAATTAAAACAGAACATAAATAAGAAATATGAGATAAATATATAATTTCACACAATCAAATTTTACTATTTTTTTTTCAAAACCTCCTAACATATCTCGAATTAAAAAAAAAACTTCCGACTTCCACATCCTGTATCAATCACTCTCTTTCTCTCTTCTTCTATTTTAAAAACAAAAATAAAAAAATTTCTCACAATTCTATATTAAGGGGGTGTATTCAATTGAGAATTTAAGAGACTTTAATAAATTTATAAATCCATGGATTTTTATGGAATTTAACTGATTTATAGAGATTCCCTATAAAATTTTGATTTAATTCCCATGAAATCTCATGAGAAGATGTGAGATTTGTAGATGCTTAAAATACACTACAAAATCTCTTCAATTCTCTCTAATTCCTCAATTTTCTCAAATTCTTTAAAATCAATTTCTAATTGAATACACCTAAAATGTTATAAACTTCTTTAAAATCCTAATTGATTACACCCGGATTTCTAAGGATTTTAATAAACTATCTTAAAATTCTAATTGAATACATCTTGAATTTTAGAGAATCACTTCAAATCCTAATTGAATATCTCTAGATTCATTAAAAGAATTAAAATCCCACAAAATTCCAATTGAATACATCGCCTAAATTTTTGCTATATTGAGAACCAAACAGTCCTCTTCTTCCTCCTTTTACCTCTGCCATGTCAAATCTGAACAAGCCCTATCCTCTTCCAACCTTTGTCAACCCCACCTCGTGACCTCGTTGGCTCCGGCATCAGGTGCAAGCTTCAAGCTCACTCATCAAGCCGACATCGATTCCTTAACCGAGATACCCCAATCCGTAATCCTCCCAAATTTTGTCGCCGCAATCTCACTGCGGGGTGCAGTCACCGGTGGGAGGAGGGTGGATGGGCTTGGTGGTGGTGGGAAAGGACGGTGGCTTGGGATAATGGGATGGAACTCATGAAAGGCTGGTAGTAATGTGTTAGCAGATTTGAGATGGACATGTGTTGTTATCTTGTTGTTCCACGTATCCAAGTCAATATACTGGGTACTCCCCGAGGTACATGGATCCTCTCCAGATCCAATTGTCCTAATTTTAGGAATTCTTGAATCCAGACCATTGAAATTTGATCCAACGGTTAAAGTTATTATAACTTTTAGAGTAGGTCCATGTTTGTAGCCATTAGATCAAATTTCAATGGCCCAAATTCATTGATCCCTAGGATCAGTACAATTGAATCTGGAGAGGATCCATGTCCCTCCCTGAGGAGTACCCACATATTGTCCTATTCTTTTAGCTTTTTATCTCAAATGGTTTTTGAGATTTACATAATTCTTCATTTTAGTCCTTAAAATTTAAAATTGTGGTTCATGAGATTGTCTACTTTGGTCATTCAATGAGAAACCTCCGTTAAATTAAAGGTGTTTTTAGTCTCCCTAGCATTACTCTAAAAAATTAGGTAAGTTAATCAACACTTAAGTAATAATCCACTCATTGACTTCCTTATCATCTAATTTACAAAATTTAATCTACAAATTTGATCTACCTGAAATTACCCACCAATCTCTCGAACTGAGAATAGTAAAATAATTAAATAATATAAAACTCTTTGAAAATCTGAAAAGGTAAATTACAAGAGTTTTTTTTTTTTTTTTTTTGGTAAAGAAGTAAATTACAAGAGTGGTTATAACATGGAAACCTTTTGTATAAAATCCTAACACTTGCCGATGTGTCTTAAGTTGGCGAGTCACTATCCTTTTTTTTTTTTTTTTTTTTTTTTTTTTTTTTTAATTATTTATTTTTAAATAGAAATTGCTCTCTCTTTCTGAAAGGCTAGTTTGAATGGAAGTTACACATCATGTTCTTCACTATGACTACAAATAGTTTCGGACTGCTACATTTCTATTTGGGCTGCAAAGAATGTTCAACAGACTCATTCGTGCTCGCTAGATACATATGTTAGAATAAACATATACCAAAACATGTAATTATGAATCACAGTGATCAAAATACAAATCCTATTCATAAGCCTGTAGCACGGAGAAGAAACTTACCTGCAAATGAACATGAAGAAACCAACAATTTCAGATTCTGCAGCAAACAAGCAGTGCACCTTCTCCTCTCTCCAGTAATCAGTTTGCTCTAACTAATAATAGGTCTTAGTTCGATGATTGAGCGTATCAACTGTGAGAGTAAAGGCCACTATATATACACAACATAATATTTGCCAGATCCCCTAAGGATTCCCCTATCAGAATCCTTATAGGAAACTAATCCCTTAAATAGTAGTCCAGTGTGATATGGATTACAAAATCCATTTCCAATAAAACTTCCCATTCAATCTCAAGACCAATAACTAAGTTCATAGATTCATACTTATGCTCATATTCTTACAACATACACATCAGAAGCATTGCTTCCTTTCTTATTCTAACCTTTGTCAAATAGAAGACAGCAAACTGTCCAAGTAGTCACTTCCCAGGTCTTGGAACTCAAATACATCAAATTCATGATCACACATCTTTTGCATGCTTGCCTTCCTCTTCACTGCAGGTTTTCTTTCCTCAACATTTTCTTCCCAATCTCTCAACCCTCTCTTCCGAGGATTCGAACCAATTGAGGATAAAGAAATGCTGAAGAAATCCAATCCCATGGCCTTTGCAACTGTTTCAAGGGGGAAGTTAAGATGTGCCTTTGAGCCTCTAATTCTCAAAGCAGCCTTGTCATAAGCCAAAGCGGCCTCCTCAGCAGTCTCAAAAGTCCCAAGCCAAACCCTAGCCCCTTTTCTTGTTGAGTCCCTAATCTCTGCTGCATACTTGCCCCACGGCCGCCTCCTAACTCCGCGGTAGTGCTTCGCAATTTCCACTTTCTTTGCTCTCTCGACCTTTGCTTCACATTCCAAATTTGTAGTTCCATTGCCTTCTAACTTGTCATTGCAAGACTGCTCCGTATTTTGTGCAGGACCAACAACACTGTCCAGAAGCTCCTCCCAGGCCTCAGTTCCCATTGATATCCACCTACCTAGGCTTGGTAGCCTTTGTAGAACTTCCATTGAACCTTCTCTCCCATCAAGAGGAGGCATATCTTCCCAGGATTGAGACAATTCTGTTGCGTTTTTGGGTCCATCCACACCGATAAAGCTCGCCCACACGTTCTCTAGTACTATAGCCTCATATGCTGGCTTTTCTGCATGAATATCTTCAGATGCTGGCTTTTCTGCATGAATATCACTATGTACAGTCATATTCACACAATTTGAAGTCGATATGAGGGGAGAGAAGAGATTGAGAAAATGGGCAATATAAAGGACTAAAGAGAGACGCGTGAACAGCTAAGCTTTTAATGAAGGGGCTGGAAACTTGTAGCTCAATCCAGCTGCTAAATACATGGAGGATTTCAGGAGTTTAAGTGTTTAATAAAATGTGGGATTCATTATTAAGTCTCCCACATCGACTTGTGTGGTGTTCTAATCATTTCCGCGGCTTTATCGATGTAGATTCTATGTACTTACGGTTTTCTATTGTCAACACCTTCCTCAAATTCATGAAGATTACATAAGAAACAAAGAAGAAGACGAATTGAAAGCTGGACGGAGTATTAAGTTGAGTTTTCATATTGGCATGCTTACACTCTCGCTTTTAAACAATCCTAAAAACCTACTATAAAATCATTTTTTCCTTAAGGTACTCTTTGAAAATAATTGCAGAAAGATGGCTGCAGTATTCAGAATTGTATTTTAGGACTCAACTGAGACAATATAATATCATATATAGATGGCACTTGGCAGAATCAGGTGGGAAGGGATTTGGATCATTTGAGGATTAATTAGAAAAAATATCTCATCTGAACATAATTAATTAATTCTTGTTGCAAATCAGATCCCTTTCACCTGAAGCTACTGATTTCACAAGTAAATTCTTGTGTACCCTTGAAAAAAGATATAATATGAGAGTTCTAAAATCTTTTTACCCACACAGAGAAGAGACTGCTAAATTGTAAAGTCCAAAAGTGCTGCCCTATACTAATTTACTTGAAGACTTTTCCAAAAGAACATTATTTTATCATCGAAAAGACTTCAAAGAGGGAAGTTGAAAACCCTTTAGTCATTTGAAATTTACACGGAAAATATAAATGTTAATAATTGTAAAACTCCATCCAATCCAATGTTGTGATATTCATTTTTTGGACTAATCCAGTCCCGTCCAAGGAACCCAGAAATGGCAGTAAACACGGTATCCAAGAAATGCCACGGTATTCAACCTTGTGATATTCATTTTTTGCAATAAGCTGGCATATCTTAGAGCCCAAGAAATGCCAGCTTGATTAACAAGTAGATGCATAAATACAAGCTATCAATGTCATAAACTAGCCGCACGCTTCAGTTAGAATAATAATATAATACGTAGCTAGTGAGAATAAAAATAATAAGGGCTGATGACAAAAGGGGAGGTTGGATTTGCAGAAGATCAAAGCAAGCTAGGGATGTTGTTATGTAGATGCGGCGTATGAACATGATTTGGAGTGGAATATTTTTCAAAATCCGTGGGTGCATTTGAATTAGGCGTGTTAGAAATGTATTCAGAGCCAAGGGGTTTGACTTTGATCACTTCTCCTTGCTTCTGTTGATGGCAAAAGGAGAACATATTCTTGCAAAGCTTAAGTTTGTTTGGCATCTCTCGCTGATTTTTCACTTGTGCTAGGATGTCATGCGCTCCCTCAAGCTTCAACTTGATATCGTTTTTTTAAGACCTAAACGCTTGGTTAGCTAGGATAGTGTGTCATCTTTGCATTCAAATTCAATTATCCCTGCTTCATAAAGAAAAGATCTAACTACATTTTACACCCTCCAGGTTTTGCATAATATTTGAAAAAGACCACAAAGTTTAATTTTATCATATTACATCATGAGGTTTTGAAATTGAAAAAGTATATGATTTCTATTTATTTGATTGTATAAGCTTTCATTATATTGACGATGTGGCATATTAATTCCACAATAACCCATAAATTGTCTCACACTTATCATATTATCAATTTAATGAAGGGGTAGACAATAGTCAAAATAACACAAGGCAAAAAAATCCCTGTGGGGAGTAAAAATGCATCGTTAGGGGAGGGCTTTGCCTAGAGAGAAGCACTTGCGCGAGCGGCGGTAACGAAGCGGGAGTGAGAATGTCGGCTTGATTAACACAAACATTGGTGATGGATTAATGCCCTGAAAACCTAAGGATTCCTCCGTAAAATTCGTTCACGAATGATGAGTTATGACCTCAGATCAAGCCGAAAGGCATAGTCAACGACTCTAAACTTAAAAGAATATAAACCTGAATAAAACTTTTATAATATTTTTCTATTAAATGTTCTAATCAAATTATTAATAAATATAGCAAGTAAGTTTTTTTTTTTTTTTTTGGAAATCAGAAGATTCAATAACCGGGCAAAGATGCCAAACAATACAAAGAGAGCCTACACCGAAGCAAACAGCCAATAACTACTTGGAAAGGGTAGAGCGAGGAGGTTACAGAGAAAACACGATGTCGCAACAAATGCTAAAGCGTCCCTCCACGCAATACCACAAACCATTAAGGCGGATAAGGTAAACCGTCGTTACACAAAACATGAACCAAGGAAGATAGGGGTCTATCAACCCACACATGATCACATACTTCCCTACTACTTCGCGACGCCAAATGGTCCGCTGTTGAATTGGCCAGTCTTGGAACCCAAGACCAGCGGCAATCAAGAAACTCCTTTCCCAATCTAACACAATTCAGAAAAGAGGGGAAGGCATCCCAACCGCCTTTCTTAGCCATGTCCCTAAGGCAAGAAATCGATTCCAACGAGTCGGACTCTAAAATAATCTTATTCCATCTCATCATCTTGCCAAGCATACACCCGTGCAAGATTGCCATAGCCTTTCCCATAGCCACACTAGTAGCCTTCACACCTGATCTACTAGCAGCAAGAAACCTCCATTCCTCATCCCGTGCAACAATACCCGTGAATCCCCGTCCATCACAGGACCCCCAGCTAGCATCCACATTTATCTTAACGAAACCCGTACACAGAGGAGACCAACAAACATAAACCAATTAAACCAGGCCACGAGGTGGAGGCGTAGTCCGAGGACCACCCCAGGCTTCTTTGAATGTAGAGACCGATACAGAAATGGCCAAAATAACCTGCCTAGTATGAATTGGTTGCTGGTTGAATTGCATATTACATCGGGCTTTCCATATATGCCAACAAGTGAAAGCGATATATGAGAGCATATTGTTTCTCACCTCAATTGATCCCTTCGCTGAATCAAACCTCTGTAACAACCAGCCTGCCCAAGAAGAAGTATCCGTCTGATTAATCGTCATACCCAAGCTTCCCCCGAACCAAACAGCCTCCACCCACGGGCATTGCAAAAATAGATGTACAATTGTTTCATCCTGATTCTTACAAATCGGGCATAACGGAGATGGGGAAGATCTTCTTCGGAAGAGGTTTGACATAGTAGCCATAGCTTCCTGAAGGGTCTTCCATAAAAAGCATCTGATTTTTGGAGAAGCCTCAAGTTTCCACACACACTTCCATAGATGGGCAGGAATGGTGACCGAGGATCTAATATTAATACCCCCATGGGGCAGATTCCGACCAACCACCCATTTATATCTGGATTTAACTGAATATACCCTTTTTTTATCTAGGGGCTAAACCAAACGATCACGTAACAAAGGGTCTCCAATATGGGTCTCAAGGATAGCATCAAACTCGGACCTTTCCAGGAATGGCTTTAGAAAATCTATATCCCACATTCTATTCTCAGAGCAAATCAGCTAATTAACCACCAAATTATTAGAAACCTGTACCGTCCCCGATTGAGAAGGTCTTCCCATTGGAATAGATGGGATCCATCTACCAACCCACACCCTAACCTCATTTCCACTCAGAATCTTCCAATAAGCTCCATTACGTAAAATGTCCCTTCCAGTGAGGAGGCTAGACCAGGCCCAAGAGGCTCTCCCACCCCTTTTAGCATCCATGAATGAACAATTAGGGAAATACCGTGCCTTAAGCACCAAACCCCACAAAGAATTCGGCTCCTCAATTAATCTCCAACACTGCTTAGCCAACAGGGCATCGTTGAACACCTCGAAACTCCTAAGACCTAACCCGCCCATATCCTTCGCCCATCCCAACTTCTCTCTAGAAACCCAATGAATACGTTGTTCACCATCTTTTTGCCCCCACATGGCATCCAACTCATTGCATAGAGAAGTAGGAAACTTGAATAAGTTCATAGGATATGCAGGGATTGCTTGCGCCACCTCTTTTATGAGGACCTCCTGCCCCGCTTGAGAGAGAGCGGCTTTCTTCCATCCCCTGAGCTTACCCAGTAATCTTTCTTTAACGTAGGCTAGCCCACTTTTTTTCGAACGACCCCAAATAGCGGGAACCCCCAGGTAGACACCTGGATCTCCAACCTTCTCCATACCCAGTATGTTCGCCAAATGAAGTGATAAAGACTCAGGCATATTGTTACCAAAAAATACGCTTGACTTTGACTTATTAACTTTTTGACCCGACGCCAACCAATAATCATCAATGACTTAGGATAATTTCTGACAGTTCTCCTCCTCAGCTCTCAGGAAAATTAGAGTATCGTCAGCAAAGAAAATATGGGATATTGTCGGGCCAGGCTTGTTCATTTGGACTCCTCTGATCCAACCTCTATCACTAGCGTGCTGGATGCGAAGTGATAACACTTCACTAACCAACAAGAATAGGTAGGGGGAAAGCGGATCTCCTTGTCTGAGCCCCCTAGAAGGCACAAACTTAGTTCCAAGAAGACCATTCAGAATGATTGCAAAATTCACAGAAGAAATGCATCTCAGGATCAAGCTTTTCCACTTACTGTCAAACCCCAATTTCTCCATCACTACCATTAAAAAATCCCATTCCACCCGATCGTAGGCCTTATGCATATCCAGTTTAATGCCCAACTCGAATTTGCATTTTGCTTTCCTCAATTTAAGAAAATGGAATAATTCATGCGCAATTCCAATATTGTCTTAGATTTGCCTTCTTGCCACAAAGGCATTTTGGGTAGGGGAAATTAACTCCGGAAGAAACGGCTTGAGACGATTCGCCAAAACCTTCGAAATAACCTTATAAGAATAGTTGCATAAACTGATAGGCCGAAATTGAGAAACGGATTCTGGGTTTTGAACTTTCGGTATCAGAACCAAATGAGTAGCATTGATTCTCATGGGATTTTCTAAACCATGCATAAATTCTCCAATAATTTCATTCACATCCACAGTAAGAATGTCCCAATGAGCCTGATAGAAAATCCCCAGGAAGTCATCGGGACCAGGGGCCTTCATCCCACTCATTTGTAAAACAGCATATTTCACTTCATCAACCGAGACCGTACCCATAAGGGTAGCATTCATTTCATTGGTAACCTTTGGAAGCACACAATCGAGGATTTCTCCCCACTCCCTGTGCCCAGACGATTTGAATAACTCCATGAAATGATCATCCACCAAACTCCTAATCAGACTTGGGCTTTCAATCCACTCTCCGCTGCTATTTTTTAAAGTCACCACCTTATTTCTTCGTCTTCTTTGAAGGGTAGACTGATGAAAGAATTTGGTGTTGGCGTCTCCCTCGTTTAGCCATTTCACCCAGGATCTTTGCTGCCAGTAACACTCATCCTGCCTCCATAATTGATCAAGATTGTTGGAAAGAGCCACAATTTCCTTCTCATTCTCCTTCCAATTCTGTTG